ATCAATATGGACTAAATTTTCGGCGACCGATTTCTCCACATGTACTTCTACCCGGTTAATATAGAAACCCGCAGTCCGGACGACGGGCGGCTAGTTTGGGAATAAAACTGAAAAATACATGAATTTTTGTCTCGTTAATTCGGACATCTGTCTACAAAGAAAATAATGAAAAGAAAAATATTAGTGACCCCAGTGTGTACCCGGAATTCACCAATGTCTTTTGTTGCCCAACTAGTTATTTTCGATGCGGGCTAACAAATCCGATGGAAGAAAAAGTTGGTGACCCATAGAGGCCACCGCATATACCTTATGTTGAGATAATCCTTGCACGGGTAAAAAGTGTGCCTCTTTTCAAGTTGGAAGGTATGTTACTTTTTTCCGGGGTGTCATACCATTGCGCGGTGGCCTACGGGGTGGATCACATTCGTTGTGCATACAAGGCAAAGATGAACTGGCGGCGAAGAAAAGATCACAGGAGAAAAGCTCACCGCAAAACCGGCAGATGCGGAGAAAAGCTCACCGATTCTCTTCTTTTTTTTTTTTTTAACTTAGCGGATTTGGCGCCAAACCTGGCAATTCAACACAATTCGCAATCGCCACTTCATTAAACGTATGTCGTTTTTTTGTAATATTCTTGAAGTTCATTGGGCATATTTACTAATTCCTCAAAATATTTAATCGCCAATTTTGTATATTAATGAAGCCGCAAGGCGGTTACAGAATCAGAACATCGTAGACCGGTAACACAGACAGCAATTTATTGACAGCTGACAGTACGCCGTCGGTAGCTCTGTCAGATAAAGAGGTTTGTTCTTTGCGAGCTAATATGAAACGCGGTGTGTGAACCGTTTCAGCTCCGAATATTGGGTACTGCCTAATAGATAAGTAGGTGTTTGTTGATGCAATCAGCGTCCGCCGCGCTGTTTTGTATTCCATAAATTTCACTGACAAACTTTTAGTTGCGAGAACAGCTTCGTCTTGTCGTGTATGTTTTCTTCACTCAGTTGTCGTCATTTGAGCGGTTTTCAGCATGTATAGCGTTTACCAAATCGCCATATTCGCTACCTTACAGAAGGCTACTTCGTATATATGTCACGAGTAACATCAACGCCAGTGTGTGGCTCTGAAGGTCATGGGTGGCTCACCGTAGAAGGAGCACTATTACACAAAGGCAACGTGTGGATCGCCAGCACGAGAGGCTAGGAAATGCGCATGTCCGTGGAAGAAAGAAGACTCGATATCCTACTGACTGTTTTATCCTGTTTTCAAAAGTTAACAAAAGCTTTATAGAGAATTTCAGGCGCCGCGTGGTTGCGCATGCACTTTCGGATATTCGGCATTTACAGTATTGAATTTTAGGTTGTAGGCAAACATTATTAAATTTTCAACTTTTTCCTGTTCTTCAAGTTCATAAAGTTTTCAGTTAGGCTTTCGTTGCCTAGGGAGCAAGCCACAGAAAACACTCGCCCGTAATTATTCTGTTGGGAGCAGTATACCCAATAAGCTTAACAAATATTAGAAAAAATTAGACTTTCTTTTGTACAAAGCTGACGAATTTTAATAATAATAAATTGATATATGTTACGCATCTTCCAACAGCCTCCATATAAATAGCAGAAAAAGAAATCGGTGAGCTTTTCCTCCGCATACGCTCAATGGCCGGTGAGCTTTTCTCCTTATCCACCGGTTTTGCGGTGAGCTTTTCTCCGGTGAGGTTATCTCCAGTGAGCTTTTTTCCGGTGAGCTTTTCTCCGGTGAGCTTTTCTCCGGGATTCAGAATGAACAATTCTCTGGTCAGTTTGAAAGCGGGGATATTGACAGGTTGTTAAGCGTGGACGGGCAGAGCTTTCTGCTCAGCTGCAAAAGAAGATATGCAAATTCAAACGTGAAACGCCTTCAGTGTCTGTTCAGTACGTGACAGCGTGGAGTGAAAAAAAAACCTATGAATTAATCTCGCAAAGTCCACAGTGCACGCAATTCTAGACGAATCAGAGACGTGGATGAGCGTTTCCACAGCCAGCTCAAGTTGCTGCCGGTGAGAAAAACCCAGATGAAGAGGCATCGGCATTCTTGGAAGTAGACGAAGAGACCAGCGACTGGGAGCCTTTTAGCGACGAGCAGATGCTGGAGCTTGTCGGTTGAATCCTCTCAATAACTACATCAATAAAAAAAAAAATAAAAAAAATCACATCGACATAAGCAACGGAGAAAGAAGAGAGACCGACCGTTACTCGATGTGAAGCTCGTTGTGGCTGGCTGGGAGACGGCGATAGCCTATATTGAGCAGGAGGGCGACGGAGAACGTGCACTTAAATGGTCGGCGTGTTGAGCCTTTTGGACACAGAAGTAGGATCAAAGACCTCAGTGCAAAGTCACATCTCGTTGTTTGGCTAACTAAACTGTCATCTGTTCCCACAATTATATCTTAAATGTTTGTGTTTTTGGCTTTTATTCTTTATAATGGACGAGTTTCCTGGGGCACGGAGTCGTCCGTATTAACGAGACATGACTGTAAACTAAACTGTCTGACATTTTTTCCTAAGTCCTGTAGTGCATGGAATACGCTGCTTTATATTGTCACGGATGACGAGGTGAAACGAAGAAAATAACTAGAAGAACTGAGGCGAACTTCTGCCCGAAAATAAAAAAAAGTAAAACAGAAGATAACAGCAGAGCCTCGCGGGAGTCGAAGTCGGCGTAACAGCAGAGCCGAATGCTGGGGCGAAACTGACCCCGGCTACACACGGAACACCTTTTCTACCGGCGTGGGTTTCTGGAACATTCGGCCTAGAACGTTCGAGCCCGTCGAACATTCGTAAGGTGAGACGAGAAGGTTCTCGAACTTGCGAGAATAACAAGTAGAAAGAATAAAAAAAAGACACGTCGTTCCCAAGAATTGAACCCTGGCTCTTCGCGTGGGGAGCAAGGACGATAACTCTCCTCTGTTAAATTTAGCGGGGAGGGAGGGGGGGGGGGGGGGCTAATTGGTGCAAAGGCCACGTGACCAGTCAGGGGATATAATTTCCTTCGCTAAATTTAGTGACGAAATTATAGCGGTTTTTAAATAACGTGTCATAAATTTTTCCAATAAATTGATGCTCAAAAATTCCCTCTAAATTCCCTACGCAATTTAACGCGAGAACGGAATATGAGTACTGCTACTAGAGGTCAAGTAACGGCCATTTCCTCGCTAAACATAGCGCTGAACTGCGCAGATAGACTATGGACGGACAAACATTTGGGACGAAATGTTACGCTAAAAGTCATTGTATGCTTTTACAGCAAAGATGCAAAAAATGAAAGAGTAGGAGGGGAGAGGAGGAGGAGAAGGGGAGCGTATGCCCCTCCTCTGCCTCCGTACCTTCCCCTCCTCCTCTTCTGCTCCCATCCTATTTAGGGGAAAGTTCCCCGCTATATTTTGCGGTGAAAGTTTTCGTTAAATTTAGCGGGGAAATTTTTCCGCTTCAATTAGCAGGGAGATTTTTCGGCAACATTTAGCCGGAAGATTTTCCGCAAAGTTTAACGGGTAAATTTTCCCGCTACAATTAGCGGGGAAGTTTTTTCTCAAAATTTAGCGGAAAACCTTTTTGGCTAAATTTCGCGGGAAAAAGTTTCCGCTGAATTTAGCGGGAAATTTTTTCCGCTAAATTTTGAGTGGAATTTTTTTCCGTTAAATTTAGAGAAAATATTCCCGCTAAATATAACGGTGAAAAGTTTCTATAATGCAAAGTGCGGTTACGCCCGCTTGCATTATTTCCATATTGCAAAGGGCGGTTTCGCCGGGGCCACGGTGGATAGATAATACTCTTCAGGTGAGGACAGCGCGCTCCTCGCGACGTGCAGATAAAGTTCGCTTTTCACTCTCTTCCTTTCTCTCTCTCACTATGGTTTGAAGCGGCGCCGGCAGGTGACTCGTCAACCCGTGAGCACGTTCAAGACGGCTCGTGCCGCCTCAGGCTCCACACGCGTAGAACTTTAGCGAGGTTCTCGCAGGTGCAGAAAGACCACGCGGTGTACCGGTGTGTCACGGCAACGAGATAATTTTTTTCGCTCTCCCAGAGTTTCGCCGTTTGGCCGCCGGCGACACTGTCAGCCGCGGGCACGGTGGCAGCGGGATTACAGTAGCGGGATGATGCAGCCTTTCCCATATCCGTCGAACGAACGCTATCTGATTCCTCGCGCCACGCGTTCAGCCCCGCTGTGTCCTCACCTAAAGAGTGTAGGTCCATACGGGCATTCGCGTTTGAACGCGTTTGAGTGCGTTGCGGAGCCCTTGCGGCCAGGCGCGGTCGCTTGCGGAGCGACGCGCGCCTTCCTGCAACGCTCGGTAGCGCGACGCAAGCGAGTAGAGACTCGCTCAACTTTCCGAAGCGCTGCGGTGTGTTCGGGTGCGTTCGACCAATCAGAAGCCGAAAGAGGAGAGGGGGGTGACGTGTTCGCTCGCCCCACGCGGCCGACTCGAGGAGACGTATCCGGTTCTCCGGTCGCAGTGCTTGCTTTTTCGTTTTGGGGAGCGGTGGGGACTGTATTTTCCAAGGCTGCGATGGTTCAAGCTTGACAAAACGTCGGGGAAGCCGGCGAGATTGTCCCAAGATCGAACACTTCGACGCTGTCGCTGTGCGCCGCCATATTTCCTTCGATTTCGCTTACTATTGGTGAGCCACTAGCGACGATAGCGCGTTCTTATTGGCTCTTGACTGCGGTTGACTGCGTGTCAACACAACTGTGCGTACAAGTTTGGCGCAAGCGGTCTTCGCAACGCAACGCGTCCGCTTGCCGCTACGGAACGCACTGCGCTCAAACGCCAATGTGCGTATGGGCCTTGTGTCTCCCACCGTGGCCGAGGCCGACGGAGGAGGCGACGGCGACGGCGACGGCGACGGCGACGGCGACGCCGCTCAAGCCGGAAACGGGCGCCTAAGAGCTGCGCTCTAAAAGAAATAAGATTTATTATGTCATATTTTTATAGGAAGTACAATTGAAGGGCTTCCTTTACTCACATGACATGATCCTCCACTTGTGCAAATGATGTAGCCAGGAACTTTGCTTTTCAATTGGGCACTACATCGATCCGGATCAATCAGATCTATTTCCCTTTCCATCAGTGAGTTTGCGTAGTGAAATGCGAGGAATCCACTTTGTTCCGTTTGTGGTCTGACGCTAGGTACTTCACTCAATGTTTTGTTTATAGGTTCCTGAATCACAAGGTCGTCTGTTTGGTCTTCGACTTCATTATCATCTTCATATTCATATGGATCATAATATTCTGGGAGTAAAACAAATATTTAGTAGAATTATTTCGGAAAACAATACGGAAATTTGTACATTCTAATACCTGATTGGTCATGTGAGCATGTTTGAAAATGCGACCACTGCCTGATTAACGTACAATCGATACGTCATAAAAACGCAGTAGGAATGTTTTCTAATTGCCAGTTTAATGTTCGAAATACGAACGGATTCAAAGTTGCGCAGTTATATTTTATAATGATTCGCGTCTGTAGTAAAATAATTAAATTATACAATTTACCAAATATTCTTCCCCAGCCAACAGAATAGGGTGTACTGCTTGCAGGGGGATCGTCACAGTTTTCCGGAAGGCATATTGGCTGAATATAGTCAGTATAGTTGACTTTCGTTTTTAATTTTACCACAGCAATGTCTTTCTGTGAAAGTAATACATGTTAGAGAAAACTATAATGCACAACATTTATAGACGTTAAAACCGTTGCTACTTACCATGAAAAGGCGACAGTTTTGTCGAATAGGGGTGCAGATGCTTTCAACTTCAACACATGTCACCTGGGTTTCAGGAGCCTCATGGTATTCTTCATCTTCTTTTGGAGGTACTTCGCTTTTTCTGGTTGTCCTTTTCTGTATATTGCACTTTTTCAGAATTTTGTTACATTGAGAAGAATTGGTTCTGAGTGTGGTTCCAAGACGAGCTGAAAACTTATGAGCGTCTTGATTCCTTTAATTATAAAGAAAAAAACAGAAAAAAATTACTATTGCGAAATACAATAATTTTTAAATTTAGAAAATAAAATGTAAATTTCACGAATAGACTTTAGATGCGTCCTGTGTCCTAGCCTTTTGCCTGGCGCAGGGTGGTTTACTTGCCGCACCTTAGAAATTCATATCGGTGTTTAAAGGCTGCTTTTCTCACCACCTGTAATCTGAATGCTTGACACGAGATAATTGTTTAAAATTTAAACACAAATTTGTTTATCGGGTTTCTGGTCTAATCATGAGCCGCAATCGAGTGCAAAGTTTACGCTGCAAATAGTAGAACCCCGTGTTTTGCTTCATGCCTCAAACCGGAGTGCACGGGCAGTGGCTGAATGACCTTACAAACTAACGAAGAACGGAGTGTGAATGTCCGAGACAGTAATTAACTTTTATATGGAAAGAAATCAGAATAAAAATTTACATTACATTGGAAAAATATAAAGCACTTACCCAAAACAGTGTGCTGCTGTTACCACATATTCCTCAGCAATTAAGGCCCCTCCGCATACTAAGGTATCGTTTGAATCATAGATTGCGACTACCCAGGGCCAGTGTTTCGGGAGAGCTTGGGTACCATTGATGATTCTTGCAGAAATGTGTTTTACCTCTTGGCGCATTCCGCAATTATTCTGTGACTCGGTTCCGTTTGTGCGTTGCAGACTTCCAGATTCTGTAATAATCCAGTTAGCGAGTACACATTCGAACACACAATTTGCGTTGGAAATCGTGATCACAAAAATTAAATATATGCACGACTTTAAGATATGATCTGGAAATGCATAATTTTGTCTTCTACAAGTAAGCCGCATCGTTGCAGAGTGCAGCCTTAGAAATACCTGGGTTTGTTTTTGGTGTATGTCCGCAAACTAACAGAATGAAGGGGCGAGGAGTCATTTTCAGTAATGGGCTGAATCTCATCGCGAAACTAGTACTGTTGTTTCATGCGCACCGAAAGAATTCTAATTCTAGTCTTAGGAAAAGCAAATTGTAGCTGCTGCTATGGCCATTACTACCTTTCCACCATCTGTTTCCCCCTAATATGCCACGGGCAGTAAATAAGGTCACTATACAAGTCAAGAGAATCGGGCAGCGGTCAGTAGAGAGTTTTAGTATATCGTTCGGATGACTCTGACAACAATGGCCGATACACCTCCGCCACCTTTGTGCATGCAGCTTATCGTTTTCGAGTATCGTTAATAGGAATATCGGATGTATTGGAGCGATCATCTAAAGCTTTCTATTACTACTTTATGTGCATATGCACTCAAATTTATATACCCTTCAAGCGACATTTTAGAACGGAGCAATTTACACCGCGTTTTCCTGGTTTTGAAATAGTGCGTCAGTTTTGCCCGACTGCGCTGGGCTGTGAGTCATCTCGTCAAAGGGCTGTGGTAGCCTGCGTAAGCGCGTTTCCGGACGCAGGTGGTGGCTAGATGAATACGTTTGATTGCTTGTTCGGCGCCTTTTGGCGAATACACTTTCTCGATGCTCTTAAAACAGTTGCACATCACTTTCTTTGTTTGTTGTGACGACTTTTGGATACCAAACATTGTGAAAATCCTTTGGGGTGAAGAAAGGGGGAGCTTACAGAAAGTACCAACGATACGCAATACCGATGGTACCCAACAATGCAGACGAAAAAGTCACAAAGTTTGTTTTGCATTGAACTAGAAGGCCTCTAGTGAACTTAAACCAAGAAAACCCGAAAGGGCTAGGAAATAAATTCTACACGTTTGGCTCATCCTGAATAATATTATGGTTACATTTTAGAACCAGGGCTAAAATGACAGTTTTATGCATATATATTTTAATGCGTTAAGTTAGGCCCAACACATTATTTTTGTTGAACAATATTAAGCTGCGTAGTAAAAAGGCGTGATGCCGCTCTGTAGCTTCGGCTGTAATGCTATATAAAATTGTCCACAACCATATACTGAGAGGCTGTGGCATGCGCTGTGAAGCACAGAGGAGCAGGTAGTTATATCCGCCGTCGCAAATAATTACAGCGGGAATGTTATGTTTACTATGTATCCATCCCTTGGACCATTGAAATTCCATGTCGAGAAGCTAAATTAATAAAAGAAATCTGAATTTTCGTAAAAAAAAATGTTTTGCAGAGATATTCACTAAGGTAAACTGTGCTTTCAGGAGTGTGGGTATAAAATTAAGACGAGCAATCGAGGCAGTCATTGATTTGTGCAGCGTGCATTCATGTACGTGTTTTCGTGTGCTCCGTTTGTGGATGTGATCCCTGTATGAAAACATGCACGTATTCCGTTACAAGTGACGAAATATTTTAATGTATTCCCTTTATCAGTAATTGTATAAAGAATTATTTACATATTTTTCAAAGTACTTGTAAAGTATTCCCATTAGTTATTTAGGTAAGAGAATGATTGTAAATCGTTACATTTTCGTTTTTATTCACATAAGAAAAAAAACGGGAATATAAACACGAAACAAAAACGTGTAGTCTTGTTTTGTAACTGGAATGGATTGTTTTGTCAGATGAATATTACCGGGATCACGTTATCAATTGCACTTCCAAAGCGCAGAGCATGGCAGTCGTCAGAAGTTCGAAGCCTTTCTTCAGGTCGCCTAACACCTAAATTCACTTTTTTGTTTGGCTATTTTGTTTGCAAGCTGCAGCTTGATTGCGCATAAGAAAGGGGAAAGTGCGGTTGTATAAAAAGTGGGCTCTCGGTTCCAACAGTACTAGATAATCTCGCAATTACGAAACGTTTACTTCTAGAAACAAACACTGTCTGAGCTCACGCGAGTTTCTATCGAAGTTCTGTGCGCGTCAGTTATTTTGGTCACTTCATTATTTCTTTGATTTCGAACACACAGAGAGGATGATATCTAACGATTGCGCGCCTTCCAAAGCTCGAGACAATTAACAATGCCTTCTTTGGTTGTAGTAACTACAAGAGTTAGTATAATGTCACAACCAGAGCGGACGTGCCGTATATCGCTGAAATATAATTCAACACAGAAGTAGACTGAAAACGACAGTAACTGGCATGCTGCTCAAGATATGTTCGAACAGCTCATATTTTGGACCGTTACTTCAAAGATTACTCTTTGAAGTAACGGTCACTTACTTCTATGGAGGAGTAAGTTTAAGAGCAAATAGTTACAATTTTGCGTTGTATCACTGTATATATAATTCCTTTCATTTTTTTTAGCAACGTGTGCAAGTTTGCATGCGTGTGGTACGTTCAGCCGATTGATGACGTGTGTAATAGTTGTGCAATATAAAATGAAGGAGATACGATGCTAACTGCGCTAGCATTGCACATATTTTTGTGTCCTTTCAATTCGGTAATACCTTGCACGACCCAGCGTCTTGAGCTAAGTGGCAACTATACATTCTACACCAGTTCCTATTCGATTCTAAACCAATGTAGTGGTTTCTACTTGGTCTTGTGGATGAGACTATTTCCATTTACTAACTTCATTGGTTAGTGAATGTTAAGAGCACACCTATTACTAGCTGCAGTTTGTAAAAGGTTAGTAACATATCTGACAACCAGTTTCAAACAAATTAGAAGAGTATATTTTAATTACGCTGGCCAAAAGGATAACGGAAACATAATCCGCGTTTTTTTCGTTTTTTTTTTTTTTGCCGACGCATGGCATTAAACAGCACGAATATTTAACCGTCAGGTTGGTACTTTGGGTAAAACCATTGGCTAAGTAAATATTTCTGATGAGAAAATCGCGGTTTTACGATCAACGAAAAAATAATAATTACTGCGGATTTGCGTTTTGTACGCTTTACATATGAGAGGGATGGGGTTTTAATATACGGACATCACTATACAGAATTTTTCTAAAAGTCTTTCACAGAAAGTACGAACAACTCTAAAGCCGGGATCGCACTGCTTATACATAACAACAAGAAAAAAAAATTAGTCTGCAAACACGAGTTACCGCAATACCCGAGGTTCGAATGCCGCGTGCCGAATTTGTTCTCGATCGCATTGTCTAGTGGCATTTGAAGCACTAATCACGCGGTGACTCGCGTTAAGATATAAATGCAGACTGCGTTTTGTAGCATGATTAAGCAATCTGACTCTGACTTAACGGTACGAACTACGCCTACAGACAAATCAAACGATTATCACGTCTTTTTCAATGGAAGTTCATCAACGCTCGCTGCTGATGTGTACAGACAGAGATGAGGCAACGGGAAGCCATGAGCTTCACTGATTAGCAAGCCATATGCTCGATGGGAGCGCAGAAAGTGGTACTCAAGAAAATACAAACGGGTCTTTTAGACCTTGACGAGAACAAAAGAAACAACCAAAAATCTTAAGGATTAAAGAAATGTTCGTGACGAGTTATCAGAAGAACCAAGCTTATAAAACCAGAATTTTTATGCATAAACTATGAGCCTGCTAAAATGAAAGTTACTGCACAGGCGAGCTGTTGAACGATCCCAGTGAAAAAACATCGAGACAAGGAACGAAAGAATGGGACGAGAACAACACCGTCTCTGAATTAGAGACGGAGTTGTGGTTATCCCCTTTTTTTCGTTCCTTGTCTCGAGGTTTATTCAGTATGATTAGTCTGCTATTTCGAGCGAAACCTGATTCCAGGCTTGGCACAAAAATTATGTTTTTAAATTGGTATTAAAAATTCTTAAGGTCTACATACCATGAAAAGAGCGAAAACAATATGTCACGCCGAAGTAAATGTACATGCTCGTTAGACTTAATTTAAAACAGATTTTGCATTGTTTTCGACGTTTTAATAAAACAAAAATTTCTTCCATGTCTAAGTCGTTTTGCAGGGTGGCAAAGCGCAACAGGATATCTATAGGAACGTCAGTTTATATTGGAGCCTCTGAGGTGATTGTTTGTTTGGTAAAAAGGCAGGGAATGCTATGATCATTTTCAATCACATACTGTCATCTTCAAAATGCAGTTGTCTTGCGGAAGTTTTCTCTCACACGCCTATATCGTTGTAGTGCTTTATTTTTATACGATCGCTTTCTCAACGTACAATGTTGTCGAGATCAATAGAACTCTCTAATGAGCAAGACAGGTTTTGACGGAGCAGTCGATAAAAGCAGAAATATATATTTGATTGGACTTGAGTCGCGACTCGCTTTTTGAGTTAGTTAAAGTCAATACAGATCTCTCAACAAGCAACTAATGCACAATCAAGAGAAATACTAATGTTAGTTGTGACTGAGTAACTGCATGCGTATTAGATTATGTAATAAAATGATCAGAAACACATGCGCGATCTCCACATGCATGTTGCGTGAGACCTATCGCAAAGGTAAGAGTCGAAAATTTATGTGTTTCTAATGTTTTTGGCTAAATTTGTAAATTCTTATCACTTCGCTAATTAATTATGGTTTCCTGACTTCACAAGGGGTATATATGAAGTCCTATATAAGATTATAAAGCGTAAATTTAGTGTTCTCAGTATCGGCATGTGCCTTCCAGGCTGCCCTACTATTTCAGGTTGGGGAAAACAAGTCAATTGCTATGTAAACATTTCTAAAACTCAAGACGGAAGCTACAAACACAAGACAAACACAAGACGTCTCCAGTTGAGCCGTCTTTGAGAAGACGTCTCAATGAAGACGTCTTGTGTTTGTCCCCTCTTTGTAGCCTCCGCCTTGAGTTTTAGAAATGTTCAAATTTAATCAGCTCACTTGCCCTATTAAATTATCTTCATGCGCAACGTGTTTCCGTCAAATGATCTCATGTTGATGTAAGCAGCGTAGGATCTGCCTTCTTTCTTCCGCAGAAACAAACCGCACGTATTTGAACTATTAAGGAGTTTTCCCGCAGCGCAGATGCGTTTTCAGCGTCCGGTATTACAGCCCATTTCCGAACGACTCGAAGATACCTTTGAAAGTGTCTCGTGAT